ACCGGGCCAGGTGAGCGGCGCGTGCACTCTGGGCCGTGGGGCCGGGGGGGCGTGCCGCGGAGCTCCAGCGTGGGAGGGGGCGTGCACGACGCGCGCAGGCGGCAGGGGGAGGGCTCGGAAGGGGTTCCGAGGATCCGGGGAGCGGGCGAAGGGGCGGAGTGAGCGCCTGCAGCCGGGGCCACCCCGATCCACAGGTCTAGGTCTCTGCCCCCCCTTTCTTGTCCTTCCCCCGGGGCGCGCGCGGGCTTTCTCCGTCGCGGGCGCTGGACCGGGGGTGTGGACGCCGCTGCCCCGCCCCCGGGAACCACGCCTCCCTCCTCGGAGGGACAGCGCCTCCCCCGGGTTGGGGAAACTGAGGAAGCGGCGTGAAGACCGGGAGATCTGATGCTGGGGGAACCGGGCAAGAATGGGGGCGAAGGGCCTGGAGTCTCGGCTTCGGAGAGCCCGAGACCTTTGTCTCTGACCGCTTTCCTTCCCAACCAGGCTTGCCCACTCCCGCCACAATGGCCTCGGGGGTGGAAGTCCTGCGCTTCCAGCTGCCGGGCCACGAGGCCGCGACGCTGCGGAACATGAACCAGCTCCGCGCGGAGGAGCGCTTCTGCGACGTGACCATCGTGGCCGACAGCCTCAAGTTCCGTGGCCACAAGGTCATCCTGGCCGCCTGCTCCCCGTTCCTGCGGGACCAGTTCTTGCTGAACCCCAGCTCCGAGCTGCAGGTCTCCCTGATGCACAGCGCACGCATCGTGGCCGACCTGCTCCTGTCCTGCTACACGGGCGCCCTGGAGTTCGCCGTCAGGGACATCGTCAACTACCTGACGGCCGCCTCCTACCTGCAGATGGAGCACGTGGTGGAGAAGTGCCGGAACGCGCTCAGTCAGTTCATCGAGCCCAAGATAGGCCTCAAGGAGGACGGGGTCAGCGAGGCCAGCCTCGTGAGCAGCGTCAGCGCCGCCAAGTCCCTCCTCCCGCCGGCCAGGACCCCGAAGCCAGCGCCCAAGCCCCCGCCCCCTCCTCCGCTGCCCCCTCCGCTCCTGCGGCCCGTGAAGCTGGAGTTCCCACTGGACGAGGACCTGGAGCTGAAGGCCGAGGAGGAGGACGAGGACGAGGACGAGGACGTGTCTGACATCTGCATCGTCAAGGTGGAGTCGGCCCTCGAGGTGGCGCACCGGCTCAAACCCCCCGGAGGCCTGGGAGGGGGTCTGGGTATTGGGGGCTCCGTGAGCGGCCACCTGGGGGAGCTGGCGCAGAGCAGCGTGGCCCCCAGCACTGTGGCCCCACCGCAGGGTGTGGTGAAGGCTTGCTACAGCCTGTCGGAGGACGCGGAAGGGGAGGGCCTGCTGCTGATCCCCGGGGGCCGAGCCAGCGTGGGGGCCACCTCGGGCCTCGTGGAAGCGGCCGCGGTGGCCATGGCTGCCCGGGGGGCGGGGGGCAGCCTAGGGGCAGGGGGCAGCCGGGGACCCCTGCCCGGGGGCTTCTCGAGCGGAAACCCCCTAAAGAACATCAAGTGCACCAAGTGCCCGGAAGTGTTCCAGGGCGTGGAGAAGCTGGTCTTCCACATGCGCGCGCAGCACTTCATCTTCATGTGCCCGCGCTGCGGCAAGCAGTTCAACCACAGCAGCAACCTCAACCGCCACATGAACGTGCACCGTGGCGTCAAGTCGCACTCGTGCGGCATCTGCGGCAAGTGCTTCACCCAGAAGTCCACGCTGCACGACCACCTCAACCTGCACTCCGGGGCGCGGCCCTACCGCTGCTCCTACTGCGACGTGCGCTTCGCCCACAAGCCGGCCATCAGGCGGCACCTCAAGGAGCAGCACGGCAAGACCACGGCCGAGAACGTGCTGGAGGCCAGCGTGGCCGAGATCAACGTCCTCATCCGCTAGCGGGGGGCGGGCGCGGAGGCCGCGAGGCGGTGCCCTGCGCCGCTGGGGCGAGGCTCCGGGGCACAGGAGAATGGGGTGGGCAGACGCGTCGGAGTGGGGAGGGAGGGAGGGAGGGAATAGATTCCCTGGAGAGGAGAGACCCTGCTTCTCAGAGAGAGGATGGAGCTAGGGACAGGGTTCTTTGACAAAGCCAAGGGAACGTGGGGTCCCAGAGATTGATTTTCATAGAGGTGCATGGATATGTGGATGGGGGGAAAGCGTTGCATAGAACGGAGAAGAGGGAAGACGAAAATGGTTTTTTCCTGGCCAGGCTGCCCGGGGGAGGAAGTTCTGACATTTCTTGAGGCAGGGGTGGGGGGTGGGAACCGGGCGGGAGCCGGGCAGGAGGCCGCTGACTCCCTGGTTAGCGTAGATCCCTGGGAGAGGGGGCAGTAGGGGAAACAATTACTGAATCTCAGACAAGGAAGAGGGAGACAGTTCTTGCATGCCGGGGGAATGGGACTGTGGGGCACGGCTCACCAAAACTGGAGGATGCAGTGAAGGTGAGCCTCCTGGGTAGATACTGGGAAGTGGGGGTACAATAGCAAGAACAGTGAATAGTGCAGGGGTTGGGGGGCAGGGCACTTAGGAATAAAAGGACACAAGGAGGGCAGTTAGTGGGAGGGAGAGGAGTAGAGACCTACAGTATTTTTTAAGAAAACAAAACGTATTTTTTAGGATTTTTTCTGGAGTTTGGGGGTTTTAGTTTTTCTGCTTTGTTTTCCACAGAATAAAAGAATTTAATTTTTTTTCTTTATGCTCTGGCAACTGCGTGTATATGACTGTCCCACCCTAGATGGTGTCTCCCTGTCGGTGCTGTATCCACAGTACGCAGAGGTCACAGCTCTCGAAGGTCCCGAACCCAAAGGAGCGCACCTCCAGCCAGGTTCCCTGACAAGCGAGATCCTCCGGCCAGCGACGCCTTTCCCCGAGTTGTGCAGCCTCAGTACCTGGCCAGGGACCACACAGCACCCGCGATTGGCAGCTGTCGTGATACACATGTCTGTTCCACTTGCAGGGTTTGGTATCAGGGACAGGCAGCAGGTGACCAGCGTGCCCACTCATGCTGCAAACAAGCGTCTGTTCTGGCATTTTTGTTTGGGAGAAGTGGTTCGTGTCTTTGGAAAAGCTGGAAACCTGCAAACTTGCTTTAGGTTTTTGGGGAAGACTACAATTCCCAGAAAGCTCTGGAAAGTTCCTAACCAAGAACTACAGTTCCCACAAGGCCTCGAAATGGCCTCAGGTGCCCCTGACCCTAAGCCGGCCTGTGTCAAATACAGCGTGTGAGACCGTACAGATGTTTCCAAACTTTGAGGGCGATGGAACACGTGTGGGGCGGCTTCCCTGAATACTCCTGTGTCAGGGCTGCCTAGCCGGGTGTCCTCTTTACAATTGTCAGTTGGGCTGTCATCCGCGGAGTGCCTGACCGCGGATGAAGTGGCTAGCTAAAAAAAATGATCACTTAACTAGTGTCACCAAAAAGACCTCACTCGAGCCGCCGGGCTTCCCTGGATCTCTAGCGCTTGTGGCGGAAACAAAAGACATGTCCCAGGTTTTCAAAAGGGGACGCTGCTGGGAGGGGGATGATGCAGCACGCTAGAGTAAAGGTGTCCCCGCATGTCCCCGTGGCCCCCTTCTTGCTCGTCAGGGCCGAGGCCAGGGCTTCTTATTAGCTGGTGGCCGAGAAACGAGAACAACAAGCAAGCGGGGGGGGGGGGCGAAGCCCAGGAGCGCCCGACAAACGCAGCAGCTGAGAACCAAGGGGCTCGGGCGCTGCGCTTATCACCTAGACCCAGATGGGGCCAGAGGAGCCACCCCGGGACCCAGGCAGCCCTCGCCCTTGGCTCCCTGCAGGGCCGAGGCTGGGAAGGGCAGGAATTCCCCCTGCGGCGCCCAGCT